TAGTTTTCCTTATAACCATTGATCACCGTAGTTATCCTGGGTATTCATGATCACTGTAGTTTCATCCTGGGTATACATGATCACTGTAGTTCATCCTGGTATACCATGATCACTTAAAATTATCCTGGGGATAACATGATCACTGTAGTTATTTTCCCGGGATACCATGATCACTGTATTCACCTGGTATACCATGATCACTGTAGTTCTCCTGGTATACCATAATCACCTGTTAGTTCATTTTTCATCGGTATACCATGATCACGTAGTTCATCCTGGTATAAATGATCACTGTAGTTCACCTGGTATAACACATGATCCCACTGTAGTTTATCCTGGTATACCATGATCACTATAGTTCAATCTCTGGTGTACCTGATCACTGAGTTCATCCTGGTATACATGATCACTGTATTTCATCCTGGTATACCATGTCACTGTTCTTCCTGGTATACCTGATCACTGTAGTTCATCCTGGATAACATGATCACTTTGTTTTATCCTGGAATACCATGATCACTGTAGTTCATCCTGGGATACCATGATCAAATGTAGTTACTGGTATACATGATCACCTGTAGTTCATCCTGGTATAACCCTGGGTCACTTATGTTTCATCTGGTATAACCCTGATCACTGTAGTTCATCCTGGTATAACATGATCACTGTAGTTTAGCCTGATACATTAACACTGTAGCAGCCGGAACCAGATCACGTAGTTCAGCCGGTATAGCATTACACTGTAGTCACCGTAACCATTCACTGAGTTTACCTGGAAAAACGACACTGTATTTTTTCCTGGAGGCATGACCTGTAGTTCAGCCTGGATAACATGATCCTTAGTTCATCCTGGATACCATGATCACGCAGTTCACCTGGTAAACATGATCACCTATTCATCCGGTAACCATGATCACTGCAGTTCACCGGGATTACATATCACTGTATTTCTCCTGGTAACCATGGTTACTGTATTCAACCGGATAACAAGATCACTGTAGCATCCGGTATACCAGGTTTTCTGTAGTTTAACCTGGTAAAACAAACATGTAGTTCCCGGTATACCCTGGTTACTGAGTTCACCTGGATAACAGATCACTGAGTTCATCCTGTATACCAGGTTTCGTATTTATCCGGTAAACATGATCACGTATTTTATCCTGGAAAACCCTGGTTTTCTGTAGTTCACCTGGGATACCATGGTTTGATTATCCTGGGAACTAAGGTTACGATTTTATCCCGGTATAACAAGACATGTATTCATACTGGATAAACCCTGGTTCTGTATTCATCCGGATACCATGGTTACTGAGTTCATCCTGGGATTCTATGGTTAGTAGTTTACCTGGTATAACATAACACTGTAGTTTTTTGCCGGTAACCATGGTTTCGTAGTTCATCCTGGTATACCATTTTACGTATTCATCCTGGTAACCTGGTTTTCTTAGTTTACCTGGTATAACAGATCACTTAGTTCACCTGGAACCATGGTTACGTAGTTCATCCTGGAAAACCCTGGGTTACTGTATTCATCCGGATACCATGGTTCTGTAGTTCACCTGGGAAACCAGATCATGTTTCATCCGGTATACCCTGGTTTTTTTTTAGTTCACCGGATACCATGGTTACTGTAATTCTCCTGGATAACAAAACACGAGTTCTCCTGGTTTTACCGGGTTTCGTAGTTTTTAAGCTGTATACAATGGTTACTGAGTTTTATCCGGGGTCCATGACACGTAGTTATCCTGGTATACCCTGGTAAGACATCCGGTATACCGGTTACTGTAAATTCCCCCGTATAAACTGATCACTGTAGTTTATCCGAAAACCAGGACGTAGTTTTAGCCTGGTAAAAAGGTTACTTTTCATCCTGGGATACCAGGTTACTGTAGTTCAGCCTGGAGCCATGGTTACTGGTTCACCTGGTAACCAAGGGTTTCTGTAATTCAACGGATACCATGGGTTTCTGTAGTTTCATCCTGTAAAAACCTGGTTTCTGTAGTTATACTGTATATCAGGTTACGTAGTTCATCCGGTATACCAGGTTACGTAGTTTATCCTGGTAAACCATGGTTACTTAGTTCATCCTGGTATACCATGATCACTGTAGTTCCCCCTGGTATACCTGGTTACTGTATTCTCCTGGGATCCATGGTTTTGAATTCATCCGGTATAACATGATCACTGTAGTTCATCCTGGTATACCCCTGGTTACTGTAGTTTACCTTATACCATGGTTACTGAGTTCATCTGGTATAAAAATGATCACGTACTCATCCTGGTATACCATGGTTTGTAGTTCATCCCGGTATACCATGGTTACGTAATTCATCCCGGTATAACATGATCACTGTATTTTCCTGGTATACCAGGTTACTTAGTTCATCCGGATACTGGTTTTTGAGTTTTTATCCTGGATAAACCCGTTTTCTGTATTTTTTCCGGTAACCATGGTTACTGAGTTTTTAACGGAACCATGGTTACTTGTTCATCCTGGTAACCATGGTTAAAGTATTCATACTGGGATACCCGGTTACTTAGTTCATCCGGTATACCAGGGGTTTCTGTAGTTTATACTGGAACCATCTTACTGTAATTCATCCTGGGAAACATAAACTTTAGTTTCCTGGTATACCAGGTTTTTTGTAGTTCATACTGGTATACCTGGTTACTGAAATTTATCCTGGTATAACATGATCACTGTAATATGTATATATCGTATTAAAAGGGGTAGATGTGGGATTATTTTCATTTTTGTAAGTATTTTTTATGAAGGGGGTGTGTATGTATTGTATGTGATATTATGTGATATGTATTGGTATTTTTGTGGTATGTTTTTTATATGTATGCGTTATGTATGTGGTATGATTGGTAGTTGTGTATGTGAATGATGTGGGGTGTATGTGGTATGTATATTATTGGGAGTATTTAATTAGTGGTAGTAGTGTTTGTATGTGGGAAGTATATATGTATGTGGGAGGATTGGTATGTTTAGATAGTAAGTGATATGATGTGATATGATGTGGTATTATGTGAATGTAGGGTAAGATTAAAAATTTGTGGTAGTATGGGTATGTATGGTATGTTTTGGTAGTATGTGTATGTGTGGTATGTATTTATATTAGTGGGAGTATGGATTTTGGGATGTAAGTTGTATGTAGTGTAATGATATGTATTGATATATTTGGAAAGTTTTAGTAGTGGAAAACATGTGATATTATTGGTATGTATGTGGTATTATTGAATGTATTTAATGATTAATGGTATTGGGAGTATGTGAATGTATTATTGTATGTGGATGGTGGTATGAGTGTATTAGTGGTATATATGTGATTGTATGGGTAAGATGTGATATGATTTGGGATGTATATGTTGTGGGATGTATGTGAATGTATGTTATTATGTGATATGTATTGATAGTATGTGGGATTATGTTAGTATGTGGTATGTATGTGGGATATAGGGTATTATGTTATGTATGTGGTATGTGATTGTATGTGGATGATTATTGTATTTGTGGTTTATGTGATATGTAAAGTGGTATGTGATATGTATGTTAGTATTTGATTGTATGTGGGATGTAGTGAAATTTATGTTTGTATGTGATATGTATTTTGGTATTATGTGATATTAGTAATTATGGATTGTAGTGGTATTTTTTGATATGTATGGGAGTAGGATATTTTTGTGATATTTTAAGGAATTTTTGGGATGTATGTGATATGATGTGGGATGTATTTATTGTATGTGGGATTAGGATATATTTGGGGATGTATGGATATGTATGGAAGATGTGGGAGTATTGGAAATGTTGTGTAAAGAGTGATATTATTGATATGTAGTGGATTAGTGATATGTATTGAGATGTGGGGATGTATTTTTTGTTTTTGGGCATGTTTTGGGTTGATGGGTATGAAAGGGGTTTTAGGAATTATTTTAGATTAATTGGTATTATATTTTGTGGATGTGGTATTAGTTATGGTGGTATTATTAATGAGGGGGTGTTATGGGTTTTTTATGTGGGAGTATCTGGATGTATTTGGATTATAGTATTGGGGTTATATTAGTGGTAGTTAAAGTAAAATTTATATTTTTGGGTTTTGGGTTATTGGGGGGGTTTTTTTGGGGGGGGGGGAAAAGGGGGGGAATTTTAAATAAATTTAAAAATTATTTAAAAAATTTTAAATAAAATTAAAAATTATTTAAAATATTAAAAATTAAAACATATTAAATTTAAAAATATTACTTACATAATAAACATAACCAACAAATACAAAATTAAACATTTGGACTAAATCATACAAAAAAAAAAAAAAAAATTACACAATTAAACATATATAAAAACAAGAAAATTTAAAAAAAACAACAAAAACAAAAATTAGCAACAAATACATACTATACTACAATTTCAAACATATTTTCAACTATTACTACAATCACATAAATATTACATACATATTACGATACATAAATACATACATGATTACATACATATTACATACATATTACTACATATTCATACATTATTACATACATATTACATACATATTACATACATATCACATACATATTACATACATAGTTACATACATAATACATACATATTACATACATATTACATACATATTACATACATATTACATACATATTACATACATATTACATACATATTACATACATATTACATACATATTACATACATATACATACATATTACATACATATTACATACATAATACATACCTATTACATACATATTACATACATATACATACAATTACAGACATATTACATCTCCCACCCCATCTAAAACCACAACCAAATTTAATCTCACCTCACCCTGAACCCATCCATAAGTACGTAACCCCTTAACAAAAAACAAAAACTCCCAGATCCCCCCGCTACCACCAAAACCGCCCGCCGAAGCATGACAGCATGTGCCATATCCACCTCACATAGGAACGCCCGATGAGAAACAACACCAAAATCCACTCAGCCAGCATTGTGTCGCTGCAGACAGAGAAAACATCCCGTCTGCTGTACCTGTGGCGTCGGGAAGTGGAGGAGCAGAGAGAGCGGGCAGCAGACATCCGGCAGAGGAACGAGGCTCTAGTCTACAACATCCTGCCCCAGCACGTAGCTACACACTTCATGGGCATCAGGAGGAAGAAACACGAGGAACTCTACTCTCAGAGCTACGATGAGATCGGTGTTCTCTTCGCCTCAATGCCCAACTTCGGAGGTGCGGAAAAAAATGCATACCAACACTGATAACTTTTAATATATCAATAATAACTCTCTTATACATTAATAATAACTTTACACATCATTAATAACTCTTATACATTAATAATAACTCTTATACATCAATAATAACTAATTCATCAATAATAACTCTTATATACATGAATAATAACTTATAAATGTTTAGTAACTCTTATACATCAATAATAAGTCTTATACATCAATTATAACTCTTATACATGAATATCAACACTCATACATACATCACTGATAACTCATGTATATCAATAACTTGTGCATCAGTGATTTTCTTATACATCAATAACTTGTGCATCAATGATTCCTTTATAAATCATTAATAACCTGTGCATCAGTAATTCTTATACAGCAACAACTCTCTCTCCCTGTAGACTTCTACTCTGAGGAGTCAGTCAACAACCAGGGCTTGGAATGCTTGCGTTTTCTCAACGAAGTTATTTCTGACTTTGACCAGGTGAGTGATCTCGTAGCACTGTGTACAGTACTGACGCCATGGTGAAGTGCAAACATTTTTATGTCTTGCATTCTGTAACCCAACATTTCCACACCCTAACCATTCTGTACCCCACCATTTCCACACAGTAACCATTCTGTACCCCACCATTTCCACACAGTAACCATTCTGCACCCCACCATTTCCACACAGTAACCATTCTGTACCCCACTATTTCCACACCTCAGCCATTCTACTTAAAACTCTTAAGTACAAAGAAAGCCACTAGCATGCAGAACATTTCTTGCAACACCTCAGTATCTTTATCCTGAAGGTATTTCACCAACCAGTATTTCTGTTTTCATATCAATACAGAGCTTATTAGCTGAAGCTTAATAGGTGAGTGGTGGTGGTTGAAGGAAGGTGGGTGGTGGTGGTTGTAGGAAGGTGGGTGGTGGTAGTAGATGTAGGTAAGTCAGTGGTAGTGGTTTCGACTTTGCTGACACGTACTGTAGTTTATTCGTAAAATCTATATTAAAGTTAGACTGCTAATAAGTTTGTTATTTATTGCTGCAGTTGTTGGAACTAGCGCAGTTCCACGATATCATCAAGATAAAGACGATTGGTTCCACGTACATGGCAGCCAGTGGACTCAACCCCTCCAGACAAGTGAAGGTAAAGATACAATCAACTTGCTCTTTTGTAAGTGTGGAGTATTGTGTGATTTGTTGCAGCCACGGCATTGTGACTTGCGTTCTCCCGTGGTTCTTCATCACCTCTTCTTTCCTCATGGTTTGAATTTTTTCTTCTGTCTCTCGGAAGCATCTCATCTTCTGTTTCATCCAGTCCTCTTGTTTTTCACAGTGGTGTGTCTCAGAGGGTACAGGAGGAACTGGAGAAGTGCTTCACAATTTTATCCTGTCTGTATCTGCTTAAGTGAAGCCGAACTTTATGACGCTGTGAGCTTCAAGGGTGAAGGACTCTTGGTCAATGATCTGAGCTACTCTTTCCTTCGACAGATCAAACCCGATTGTCTCTAATGCACTAGGCGCTGTATGACCTCTGTGGGTTTAGCTTTATTCCAGTAACAACATAATAATATCAGATTATTAATGGTACACAATACCAACATGTTCATGGACAAGTCACCCGTACAACACTTGGGTATCTTTATTGCCGACATTAAAATTACCCCAGTATTGCACGTGTCTTATTCATCAACACAAAGGTAATCACGTACACACACATGTATATATAGTTGAATTTTATTTAAAAAATGCATAATATTTTTTTTATTTTTTATTCAACAGGAAGACGATCCAGTAAAAGTTCGCTGGGCACACTTGGCTCTGCTTGTGGACTTTGCATTTGAGTTAGTGAGAGCTTTACAGTCTATCAACGAGCAGTCTTTCAACCACTTTGTACTTCGAATGGGTTAGTAACTTTGTTTTTAATATTATATTTGGCAAGAAAGTTCTTAGAATACCTTCATAATTTATTGTAAATATATGAGAATAAATATATTGAATTTGACAGGATACTGTATACATTGAATCATGTTGCGGCTTGGCAGGTCAATTGTGTTTGTAACATACGCGTACTTCTGGCAAGACGGCTATTAAATGAATGATGGTGAGAGTAGTATTTTCTTTAGGTCACTCTAATTTGTATCAACATAGCTTATTGAACGGAGAATTCGAACCCATGGCAAGCCAGGCCTAAGATTAGCTTCAGAAATATATCGTCAGGGGTTCGAATCCTCCATTTAATGAGTTTACAATCGTGTTGTGGAACATTGCATTTATCTGTATGTATAATTATGTACATAACAATAAATGAGCATAGATAATTATTATTTATCAGTTAGACAAGTGGGAATTTGGGACACCTAGGTCGCAAAAAATGTCCCCCTTCGATACCTACCACTGTCATATCCACAAGTTGCTCCGGACTTATTAATTAAATGAATTATACATCACCAGATATACTGGTAAATATATAAATTTGTGGACTGTATATTAAATTAAAAAATGATTATATATAAATACACATATACATAACAGAAGGAAAATATATCTTAATATCACTCACCAATTTGACTGGATATTAAGTTGTATCATACTCAGAAAAACCTCACTAACTAAATTTATGAAAACACTGGCCAGAATTATACACAAATCTAGAGAGCTTATCTGAGGTTCCTGGAGCTGTCTTGTCCAGTCGTCTGATATCTCAAGTTATGCAGGAATGCACATCCAACAATTTCGCCTCCTATTTGAGAGGTGTCAATCCAATTTTAACCTCTAGAGCACGAAAAATTCTTCCCATTATATTCACGTTGTATCCAATTCAAAACCAAGATGGCGAGTCTCCTCCTGCGCAGGCGCAGCTTCCCGTTTTCGATTACATAAATTTTAAATACAGTATGGCCATTTACATATAACTGTATTTCTGGAAAATATATACAGTATTTTCCACACGTGTCATTGCAACTTTAAAGCTCTCATTGTAGTGTGGTAACTGCTGTTAATATGATGCAGGAATCAACCATGGACCCATCACAGCGGGGGTGATTGGTGCTCGCAAACCTCACTACGATATCTGGGGAAACACTGTCAATGTAGCGTCCAGGATGGAGTCCACGGGCAAGGCTGGCTGCATACAGGTCAGCAACCACTGCAGTCGTATCATATCCCAGCGAACATTAATGTTTTTGACAATGGAAATGTTATATGATTAAAAGGGATACCTATAACACCTGTTGTACCTATAAGAGGCTTCATCAAGCTGGCACTTGTTAAGCATTTTCAAGGATATATACACCGAGACGTGTGTCTCTCAGTGTATGTTATGCACAGAGTTTATTTTTATCCCTTGGCTGGTGGTTTATAGGTGACATGCAGTAGATACGCTTTAAACCCCATAAACCAACCAACCAAAATTTCTTGTCGGTGAACCATCGTAATAATTTTGTCTCCTATTATATTTTTATATCAATGGTTTGTAAAACCGACAAACAGATAACTAAGGTTTAAGGGCTGTCTACTGCTCGAGGGTCATTAAGGCTGTATGTCACCTGTTCACCACCAATCAAGAATACTTTAATTCCTTAAGTAAGAATTAAAGTTAACTCTCGGTGTATATACACTGAGATATATTCACATCTCGATGTGTATATCTTCTTTACATTATATTTTTATATACAGTTGGTTTCTTATGAAGCAGTTTTTTTAGTAAAGAATCTAATTGAATTTATTTAATTTAGGGCTCTGACTTTATCAGTAGTTTTTGTCGTACTAAAGATATTTTACATGTTTTTCATTGAAATGGAAATATGTATTAATTTTAAATAAATTTAAAATTAACCAGTAGAAATTTTCAGTTTTTCCCACATTTCTAATTTAAAAGTTGTCTTCATGCTTTGTTGTTGTATTTTATTTTAATCCTCAGGTGACAGAGGAGACCACAAAAATACTGCAGAACTTCGGCTATGTGTTTGAGCAGCGAGGACTGATAGCAGTGAAGGGTAAAGGAGAACTGATGACCTACTACCTCGTGGGCAAAGCTGCGACTCCCCAGCAAGTGAATGGTCAATCTCTGGACTACTCCAAGACAGAAGCCCAGACCAATACTTGAGTCTCTCCTGCAGACCTTATAGCCTTTAGGAGATAGAGGAAAACCTTTATATTTCCATAAAAAATCAGCAGCCACTCTCATCTGAAAAAAAGATACTTCTATCTTTAGATATATTCTCTATTTTAGATGCGATTCTCACGATACAGTGATAAAGCTACTTTTGTATACCAAGAATAACTCCATCACTTGTAGGTGTAGTTTTAATAACGGACTTGATTGTAGTTCTTGTGTGAAGATAAACTTACTGGGGGAGTGTATTCCCTCATTGATTTATATCGCCATTCATGGGATACCTCATGGTAATAGTCATGGGGATACCTCATTATAATGGTCATGAGGAAACCTCGTGGTAATAGTCATGGGGATACATCATGGTAATAGTCATGGGGGATACATCTTGGTAGCAGTCATGGGTATACCTCGTGGTAACAGTCATGGGGATACCTCATGGTAACAGTCATGGGGATACCTCATGGTAGCAGTCACGGGGATACTTCACGGTAACAGTCATGGGGATATCTCATGGTAACAGTCGTGGTGATACCTTATGGGAACAATTATGGGGATACCTTATGGTAACATTCATGGGGGATACCTCATGGTAATAATAATGAGGATACCTCATAGTAACAGTCATGGGGATATCTCATGGTAACAGTCATGGGGATACCTCATGGTAACAGTCATGGGGATACCTCATGGTAACAGTCATGGAGACACCTCATGGTAACAGTCATGGGGATACCTCATCGTAACAGTCATGGGGATACTGCTCTTTTAAAGACTGTAACTCTGACAGTGACACAGCCATCAAGTGAAGGGGAGCCTTGGTGTCGGTGAAAGGTTCGTGATCCAAGGCATAGAATCTGCCCGTTCCTTTACCCCATTGTGGACCATCAGTGGCAGGTGTGAACCCTACATGTGTGACAGGTGTGAACCCTACATGTGTGACAGGTGTGAACCCTACACATGTGACAGGTGTGAACCCTACATGTGTGACAGGTGTGAACCCTATACGTGTGACAGGTGTGAGCCCTACATGTGTGACAGATGTGAACCCTACATGTGTGGCAGGTGTGAACCCTACATGTGTGGCAGGTGTGAATCCTACATGTGTGGCAGGTGTGAATCCTACATGTGTGGCAGGTGTGAATCCTACATGTGTGGCAGGTGTGAACCCTACACGTGGAAAGGGTATTCACCAGACACAGCTCATACCTGTGGAGGTATGTCTCATCTGTAAATAAAGCCTCAGATTTCTAGCCATCCTCATCCGTAGAGCTACTCCCTCATCCGTAGAGATACTCCCTCATCCGTAGAGACATTGCCTCATCCGTAGAAACATTCCCTCATCCGTAGAGATACTCCCTCACCCGTAGAGATATTCCCTCATCCGTAGAAACATTGCCTCATCCGTAGAGACTTTCCCTCATCCGTAGAAACATTGTCTCAACCGTAAAGACATTCCCTCATCCGTAGAGACATTCCCTCATCCATAGACACATTACCTCATCCATAGAGACATTCCCTCATCTGTAGAGACATTGCCTCATCCATAGAGACATTCCCTCACCCGTAGAGACATTCCCTCATCCGTAGAGACATTCCCTCATTCATAGAGACATTCCCTCATCCGTAGAGACATTCCCTCATCCGTAGAGACATTCCCTCATCCGTAGAGACATTCCCTCATCCGTAGAGACAGCATGTCCTAACCTTTAGGAACGTTCCTAATATAGGAACTTTCTATCAACTGTAGGAACATTCGCCTGTAGGAACAGGTGAGTGTTCCTACACGAACATTCTCTCACCCTACAGGAACATTCTCTCACCTGTAGGAACATTCTCTCACCTGTAGGAACATTCTCTCACCCTACAGAAACATTTTCTCACTTGTAGGAAAATTCACTTGTAGGAACATTCACCCGTAGCAACATTCACCTACAACCATCACCTCTACACATCCGTCACGTGTAAATATATCCCAGCCTATAACACCACCTGTCTTACCACACATACTGACAATTATACATTTTAAGAATTCTATGTACGAAAATTATTTTCGGAATTATGTATGTATATATATATTATATAACTCGGATTCATTTTATTTGATTATTATAATGTAAATAAGATTATTTACAACCCAAAGGAGACAAAATGAGGAAATAATTGACAAATATCTTTGTTAAGTAATAATTTTGCTCAAAAAGCACATTAATTGTTTTGTTCATTGTGTGGAGAGAAAACTAATATATTGCCTGTTTTAGGTGGGTAAATATTTGGAGAAGAAATTATGCAAACGTTAGTTTTATCATTGGTGATTTTGTTAATTTATATATGTATACATATATTATAAATCTGCTATTGTGTGTGTATACTCACCTGTTTGTACTTATCTGTTTGTGGTTGCAGGGGTCGAGTCAGTGTGTGTGTGTGTTACCATGTTGTTCTACGCACATGTCGATTAGACACTAGGCCTTTTGTATATGCGTACATGTACTCACCTATTTGTACTCATCTATTTGTGGTTGCAGGGGTCGATTCATAGCTCCTGGCCCCGCCTCTTCACTGATCGCTACTAGGTCTTCTCTCTCCCTGCTCCATGAGCTTCATTAAACCTCGTCTTAAAACTATGTATGGTTCCTGCCTCCACTGCATCACTTTCTAGGCTATTCTACTTCCTAACAACTCTATGACTAAAGAAGTACTTCCTAACATCTCTCTGACTCATCTGAGTCTTCAACTTCCAATTGTGACCCCTTGTTTCTGTGTCCCATCTCTGGAACATCCTGTCTCTGTCTATCTTGTCAATTCCTCGCAGTATTTTGTATGTCGTTATGTCTCCCCTAACCCTCCTGTCCTCCAGTGTCGTCAGGCCGATTTCCCTTAACCTTTCTTAGTAGGACATTCCCCTGATCTCTGGAACTAGCTTTGTTGCAAACCTTTGCACTTTCTCTAATTTCTTGACGTGTTTAAAAAAACCATACCACGGGCGGGATTTGAACCCGCGGTCAGGGAGTCTCAAAATTCCAGACCGCGGGTTCAAATCCCGCCCGTGGTATGGTTTGTTTGCAATCGTGTCATTACGATTTCGTGAGTCATGTTGACGTGTTTAATCAGGTGTGGGTTCCAAACTGGTGGTGCATACTCAGGTATGGGCCTGACGTACGCGATGTATAGTCTTGAATGTGTGTGTGTGTATACTCACATGTTTGTGGTTGCAGGGTCGATTCACAGCTCCTGGCCCCGCCTCTTCGCTGGTAACTACTAGGTCCACTCTCCCTACTCCAAGTGTGATTGAGTCTCAGCTCCTGGTTTTGCCTCTTGACACTTGCTGGATTTACTCCTTAGCCTCATGGCCCCTGTCATGCCTATTCTTAAAACTATGTATGGAACCTGCCTAAACTACTTCATCCAGGTCATTCCACTTCCTGACCACCTTCAGGCTGATGAACTACTTCCTGACAGCCATGTGATTCATCTGTATAACTTCGAATTGTGCTCTCAAATATCTATTTTCCAAATCTCAGTCCCTGTCCACCCTACCGTGTACTCTGAATATTTTTAATGTTACCATCGTGTCTCCCCTGGTTCTTCTATCATCGAATGTCATTACATCCAATTCTTTAGTCTCTCCACATAGCTCATACCCCTTTGTTCTCGGACTAGTCTCATTGCATACTTCTGCACTTAACACGCTTTATCAAGTGCGAGTTCCATGTTGATGCTACACACTCACACACATGTGTCCTATATACTGTAGGGCGTGAAAGACTCTTAGTTGAGACTCCTGAAAGTCAGATTTGCCAAATAAGTATTTTCCATGAAGGATATTTAGTTGGTGTGCCTCTGGCAACATGCTGGGCACTATGTTTACGCCCAAGGTCTTCCTCCTGAGAGAGGTTTGCAACCTCTCTTCTGAATCTCTACTCAGTCTCCAGTCTTCTTACCCTTTCCCCACTTTTCATAAACTTTCATTTGCTGGTGTTGAATTCCAGTAGCCACTTATCTCTTCAGTCCCAGAGTTTGTCCAGATCTATTTGTAGCCTTTCCTTTTCCTCATCGGTTTCTGTTTTCATTAATTTTACATCATCTACGAAAAGGGATACATTTGACTGACTACTCTCTCTTCTTTGGTGTGGTTGACATATTACAGAAATAATCCTGTCCCTGATACATATCCTAGCAGAACCCCACTTGTTTACGTTATCCCATCCTGAGGTCGCTTTTCAGTCACTTGGATTCCTTCCCATAAGATACACTAACCAACTGTAACATATTCAGTGGGGTATGGTAGTTTAATATCTTTATGCACCTCATACCCATCCTGTAGGTGGTAGTCAAAAGATTTTACAGTTACATATTGTGTCCGGGGACTGGGCCACAAAATTCTGACGGCCGAACGAGTTACAGTGGTAATGATAAGATAAAATTTTCTTCGGATTTTTAACCCCGGAAGGTTAGCCACCCAGGATAACCCAAGAAAGTCAGTGCGTCATCGAGGACTGTCTAACTTATTTCCATTGGGGTCCTCAATCTTGTCCCCCAGGATGCGACCCACACCAGTCGACTAACACCCAGGTACCTATTGGTTGCTAGGTGAACAGGACAACAGGTGTAAGGAAACGCATCGAAAAATTTCCACCCACCGGGAATCGAACCCGGGCCCTCCGTATAAATAATGAGTTATTTATACAGACATGAAACAGGTCACACACACACACACACAGTGGGTGAATGTATCGAGTGGGGTTCGATAAGGATCAGTCCTAGGTCCAGTGCTGTTCCTAGTATATGTGAATGACATGATAGAAAGGATAGATTCAGAGGTGTCCCTGTTCGCAGACGATGTGAAACTAATGAGGAGAATATAAGTGGGAGAGCATCAGGTAAGCCTACATGGGGATTTGGACAGGCTGCAAGTCTGGTCCCACAAATGGCTCCTGGAGTTTAACCACAACAAGTGCAAAGTCATGAAGTTTGGGGAAAGACAAAGAAAACCGCAGACAGAATACGGCCTAGCTGGTCCAAGGCTTCAAAACTCGCTTAAGGAAGAGGATTTTGGGGTGAGCATCATACCGAGCACGTCTGAGGCGTGCATCAACCAAATAACGCCTGCAATATATGGGTGCCTGGCAAACCTAGAAACAGCGTTATGTAAGGAGTCATGTAAGACATTGTACGCGGTGAACGTTAGGCTCATATTGGAGTACTCAGCACCAGTATGCCACCCACACCTGATCAAGCACGTCAAGAAATTAGAGAAAGTGCAAAGGTTTGGAACAAGACTAGTCCCAGAGCTAAAGGACATGTCTTATGAGGAGAGGTTAAAGGAAATCAACCTGACGACACTGGAGGACAGGAAGGTTAGTGGAGGGGGTACATGATAACGACATATAAAATACTGAGAGGACTTGACAAGGTGGATAGGGACAGAATGTTTCAAAGATGGGTCTCGGTACCAAAGGATCACAACTGGAAGTTAAAAACTCAGATGAGTCACAAGGATGTTAAAAAGTATTTCTTCAGTCATAGAGTTGTCAGAAAGTGGAACAATCTGGAGAGTGATATAGTGGAGGCAGGATCCATACATAGCTTTAAGAAGAGGTACAATAAAACTCATGGAGCAGGGAGAAAGTGGACCTAGTAATGATCAGCGAAGAGACTGGGTCAGCAGCTATGACTCGACCCCTGCAACCACAAATAGGTGAGTACTCTCTCTCTCAGCTATCGCTTCCTCCCTCATAATTGTTGAGGTTCAAAGGTAGTGTTAACTCATACACACAGGATGCAGGACAAGCTTTCATTATCCTCATCTTTCTCATGAGTGGTGTTCAATTTAATGAGTTTGTTATGCACCACACTCATCCTGTGGACGGCAATAAGTGTATTTAGGTACAGGTACACATAAATACAGTTACATAAATTATCATACATAGTAACATGTGCAAAACAACGACAGGGGGAGTTGAATGATAGCTCTAGGCCTTTCGTGTTGCAATCAGCACACCAGAAGCTTACAGTGTTGCAGAAATGAGTAGGAGGTCCCAACAGATTCGTTCAGAGGAACGTTCTTCCTAAGAATGTTCCTCTGAACGAATCTGATGGGACTTACTATTCATTACTGCAACACTGCGAGCTCCTAATGATGTAAAAAGCCTAGAGCTGTCATTCAATTCTCCGTGTTTTTTTTTTTTTTATACAGGGTTTGACAAGGTTAGATTAAAGATCCCTAGTTTTATTGACAAGCTGTTTACAGGTTAAGGATTCCTAACTTTATTGACAAGCTAAGAGCTGTTACCTACATCAGCTCATCTGAAAGCATTTTTATTATGAAACATATAAGTAGGGGACAGGATGAAGTTGGAGCCAACTGTGGGCCAGAATTTTTATTTGATCACCTGACTTTATCTCGTTGACATCATAATGCTGTACGAATGTGTTCTATACTCAGTCATCCTGGGGATAAATGATCTCAGATGAAGTGATGTTCTGGAGAAGGGTACAGCCAGAGTGAAGTTGCTGCTTGCTGCCCGTCTTGTGGTAAAGAAGCTTGCTTCACGCTGTCCTCGAAGTGGATCCAAGTGTGGTACTTTGACAATATTATTTTGCATCTTGTATCGCTTGTTCGCGATTTTTGCGTGATAAATGGGCTTAATTATTTACAAACATTATCTCTCAGTCTACCGCAGGATTCAAACCTACACACACTGCGTTTTTCATGCAGAATGTGCAGGTTCGAATCCTGCTGTGGACTGATATATAATGATGGTGACGTCAATTTCCATTGCAGTTCTTGTAATATCTTATTGCTTAAACTTATAAAGTTGAAACAGCTAAGTAGCTCAACTGTGTGAAAATCAATTACAATAAAAGAAGATATACTAGGAATGAGATAAACTGAGTTATTTGCATTAATGGGTGCAGGGACTAGACACCTATTTGATTTGATTTGATGTGTAATGGTGGCTAAGTAAGTTAGTGGTATTGAAATACACCATTTTGTTCTGATTACAATTGTTAGTTGGTAATCTAGACATGAATTCAGTCACACAACAATGCACTGTAGTTTACATGTGGTTGTGAATTATATTATTTTAGCAGGGGAACAGATGAATTTAGACAAGATTAAGTGCTTTACGAGTTATTTACAATAGGCAAAATTAAAGTATTTCATTATGATAAAGCTTCAATTGCTCCTTTTTTTTTGTAATTTATCATCGTAGTCCCTCTAATGTTGACTTAAATTTACACTGGTGGTCCCTGCAGCGGCAGTGTAAACAAGGCTTTACTAGGTGTTAGTGGCTGATCTTCTACATTAATGTCAGTAAGTTTATTTAGGTGCGGGTACACATGAATATAATTATCATACCTAGTAACACATGTGTAAATTATCCAGGATGACCCAAAAAGAGTCAGAGTGACTCTTTTTTTTTCCATTTGGATTCCTGACTTATTTCCATTGGGAGTGTTCTTCCTAGTCCCTTCGTCTGCTGCTGTGACCACTGACCAGGTCTGAGTTTGTTAAATAAGGCTGATGACCTGGTAGATTGAAGGTCGTTAAATGACCTGCTGGTAGACTGATGGTCGTTAAATGACCTGCTGGTAGACTGATGGTCGTTAAATGACCTGCTGGTAGACTGATGGTCGTTAAATGACCTGCTGGTAGACTGATGGTCATTAAATGACCTGCTGGTAGACTGATGGTCGTTAAATGACCTGCTGGTAGACCAATGGTCGTTAAATGACCTACTGGTAGACTGATGGTCGTTAAATGACCTACTGGTAGACTGATGGTCGTTAAATGACCCGCTAGTAGACTGATGGTTGTTAAATGACCTGCTGGTAGACTGATGGTCATTAAATGACCTGGTAGACTGATGGTCATTAAATAACCTGGTAGACTGATGGTCGTTAAATGACCTGCTGGTAGACCAATGGTCGTTAAATGACCTGCTGGTAGACCAATGGTCGTTAAATGACCCGCTGGTAGACTGATGGTTGTTAAATGACCTGGTAGACTGATGGTCGTTAAATGACCCACTGGTAGACTGATGGTCGTTAAATGACCTGCTGGTAGACTGATGGTCGTTAAATGACCTGCTGGTAGACCGATGGTCATTAAATGTTCTGGTAGACCGATGGTCGTTAAATGTTCTGGTAGACCGATGGTCGTTAAATGTTCTGGTAGACCGATGGTCGTTAAATGATCTGGTAGACCGATGGTCATTTAATTGATAGATTGATGGTTGTTAATTGAATAACCTGATAGATCAATGGTCATTAATTGAATAACAACCTGATAGATCAATGGTCATTAATTGAATAACCTGATAGATCCATGGTTGTTAAGCCCAATAAGGAAGGATGGTTACTGTGCAGCCTTAATAACCCTAGTGTAGTTGATAGGCTTTAAACCCCATTAATCAACCAATCAACCACAGCTCTAAAAACAATAGTAAATGAACTCTTTGTCCCACTATACCATTTTGCCACAGTAGTAATAGTGAGTATTTACTAGTGAGAAAGAAGCAAGAGCGAGGAGTGAGAGATTATCATCATCAGTAGTCATGTGTAAGCAATGCTACCGCTTCACACATTAAGTGTCCATGGTTCGATCCCCAGCAAGGGTGGAAACATTGGATGTGTTTCCTTACACCTGTTGTCCTGGTCACCTAGCAAGCAAGTAGGTACCTGGGTGTTAGTCAACTGGTCTATGGGTGGCATCCTGGGGAAAAAGATTAAGAACTCCATATGGAAGTAAGACAGCACTGCATTTTTTGGGTTATCCTGGGTGACTAACCCTCCAGGGTTAAAAATCTGAACAAAATCTTTTATCTTATCTCGTAAGCTGGGAAGATGAGAAATACCATGAAACGGGGTTAAAGAGTAGTTTTGAAAAATGGTTTAAAGAACTAACAAGTTGAAGAATGAGACACTTGGGCAACATTTTGATAATCTTTACTGAGGAAATGTTTTGCCACACAATAGCTTCATCAGTCCAGTACAATGAAGAATGGTGAAAATAGAAGAGTAGTTTGAGGTAATCAGTCCCTCAGCTTGGAATCAGTGTGTTCAATCCAAGTGTCTCATTCTTCAAAAAGTAGGTTAGACAGGTACATGAGTGGGTGAGTTACACCTGTCAGCAAGTTTATTTAGGTGCAATTTTTGGATGATTACAGTTGTCTTGCATAGTAACTTGTGTGTAAATTTGGGTCCTTGAAACTTGCCTAGCATAGTCCAGTAGGCCTGCTGCCATGTTCCTTAATTTTTGTGTTTTCAATTTACTTCTGTTCAAAATATATATTTCAGATAGTAGTAATGGTAGTACAAGATTTTATTATGATTATTAATCTGGAGTGTTAGTAACTCAAAGCCAAGTGGTGTGGATTATTTCCCTTGCAGTCCTTTTAGCCTCTTACCCAGGATGCAGCTCATTAGCTGCCTGACACCCAAATATGTACCTACTTATCGTTAGGTGTGAGAAAACATGCCCAACATTTCTTCCCATGTCAGGGATTGAATCATGATCTCATGTATGTGAGCTGAAGCAGCTGTCAGCAATCAGTTAACACCCAGGTACCTAATTTCTGCTAGGTGGACATTGATAACAGGTGTAAGGAAACATTTCTGCTCATTTCAGGATTGAGCCCAGTTCCTTCAGATGTAAGCAGAAGGTACTAACACTTGAGACATAAATTTGTAAATTTGTCCTAACGTTCTGAGGGTACATAAATATTTCTGGCAGTCAACCATAGTATATTATATAAAGTAACCTAGGATAACCCAGTAAAGCCATATGTAAATAGTACAGTGAAACCTCGATTAAACAGACTAATGGAGGAGAGGAGGGTGTCCAGTAATGCCAGTTGTCATTTAAATTGAAATGATGAGATTCTTTGTCCATGGTCATAATAATAATGAACAATTCTGGATTCAACTTTTTTGTCCATTAATTTTAAACTCAATTAATTTTAAACCATAACAGTAACAAACAATTGTGAATTTAACCCCTTGACTGTCGCAACCCCAAATCCTGAGATGTCTCCCGGTGTCACAAAATTTCCCCCCAAAAAAAAAAAATATTTTTTCTTATGAAATGATAGAGAATCTTTTCCTGATTGTAATGATGCCAAAAGAACGAAATTTGATGGAAAACTGACGGAATTACGCTCTCGCGAAGTTAGCGACCTAAGCGATATTTAAGAATCTGCGATTTCGTCCAATTTGAGCTCTATTTTTGGCTAATTCTATTGTTCCAGTCGACCAAACTCATAGCTATTTCTTTAGAACTCCATTTTTTTTCTATCGATTGAGTACAAGAAACTACTCATTTACCAATTTCAACTACCCAGTAACATGGTCAGAAGTTTGCAATTTGGCTAATTTCACGAAAAAAAAAAAAATGCCAATTTCAAAATAGGGTCCAGAATGAACAATGCAGACATTCCTGGCTCTAAAATAATATTTTCTTTGTTCATCAGTCATGTCTCCAGGCCCCTCTGATATTACTCTTGCTTTCTATTTTGAATTTTTATTCAAACAAAAAATAGAAGATTTACTGCAATATTGTAATAATTGTATAAATAATGCCAACCCATTCATGAGTGCATATTAGAATGGCTACTTGGACATTTATTGGAAAATGACATCATTTGTTTACTTTTGAACATCGGCAAAAATCAAACATTTCCCCTACTTTGAGCTCCATTTCAAGGTTCTTTTCATAGTAAAACCAATCAAAGTCACCTCTATTTCTATAATATGTTTTCCATACTATCAAATGAGACCAAGAAAACGAGAATACAACCATAAATAATATACGAAAATAGACCACAAAGTCGGCATTTTAATTAAAAAAACTGTCGTAGTTTTTTTTTTTCTCATTGTGCACTGCGTGCTGCAGGATTTTTTTTTATATGGTGCACACTGACCACGCAGACCCATTCTGTCACATGTGGGCCTACCAGCTTTCTCCTGCTTGATTTGAAGCCGCTAGAATTTATGAGTATATATACATAAAAAACGGTGGCTCGTAAGACGTATATATACGACCGAAACAGTCAAAGGGTTAAGGAACTTTGTGTGTTTCCTGAGGAAGACCCTTAAAAGGACCACAAGGGAAATAAACCACATTGAGTGGCTTTTTGGATTACCCTGGGGTACTCTCTCCAAGATTAATAATCCAAATAGTCTTCTTGTACTTCCCCTCACTAGCACTGTACTAACATGAATAGAGAAAGGTAACTAGTATATTAATTTTCACATTTAACCCACAAATTGGAAATAAAGTAAATCTTTTTTCAACCTTTCAGTCCATTCCAGGCCATTATCAAATTGCTCACATTTTGATAATGATCCATGGAAGACCATAAGTCTAAATATTTATCTCCCTTACGGGAGCTCTTTTTACATAAGTGTTGGAGGAGTATGATCTTTGTTGTTGTTGTGGCTGTGCTATGTAGGTTTCATCTACCTCAGGGAACACTTGTCATTCAAAGGCTAAACTAAGCATTGCCCTCTTCATTTGCCATGTGCAGTAACTCATGTATTCCTTGTTTTTGCTTGCCTAGAGGTTGAGCCTACCCGTGAAGCTGTGGCCCTCTGACAGGCAACGTACTTCTTTGGTATGAGAATAGAAGTGAAACAGAAGGTTCGGTTCTGGTCCCACTAAATTAATTGATTGTTCTTGCATCACTCCACACTGTCTGTAAGACTCTGTATTTGACTAGGGCTATGTGAGCATCAGAAGGTGGGGTATCCTTTCTCTTCTGTGGCTGTGCCTTTCTATTATCACTAGCTTCTTTTTAGCAAAATTGTAAATCTTTCCTTGGTCTTGATAGTGAATGGGGAATGGAGAACTGAAATTTAATTATTATTTTATAAGTACAGTATTATTAATGGTTTCTCTACACCATCCCTGACTACAACTCTGGCTTCTCGTAACTTTGAGGCAGTGTGCAAGTCATCCTTGTGATACCCGAGAATATTCTTCTCATTTTGCCATTGAAACAACTATGGCCTACTGCTGTTTCACATCCTGTTCTTTATACTGTATTTCTTGACCACTACCTCACTATAATAGGAAATTTCCACATAACATGTATGGCCCACAAATCTGATCAGAATTTCTCACACTTCAACCCAGTGAAACTTCAAATATGCTGTGGGATTATGAAGTCAGTCGGGAGATTGTGACTGCAGCTGACCCTGGGGTCCCTTACCATACGTATCACAATGGTGTGTGCACTGCAGGTTGATGATGTTATGCATAATTAGATGACAAGCCACTGTTCTTAGATATATTCAGCTTAATACAGTATATGCTATGGACTTGTCATCCTTTTTCAGTTGTCCATTATTGAGCATTTCATGTGTATGCAGATGATATTTTCTTGGAATTGCAACTGCAAAGCTATTCATCCTCAAAGTACAGTAGACACTTTTGTCTATTCTGCATGAGGACACCTTAAATACTCAAGCAGTGTTGCAAAGTTAACTTTTGATGGCCGCTAGTGTATTGAGCAGGTAACTCCTTAACAGCAACAGAGCTGTTACCTACTCCCCAGCAGTGCCATCAGTGCTGGCTTTCTGGACACCCTGCTAAACATTGTTAGCTGTATATAAAATGCCCTGACTGCACCTCCCATGCTCATAATGAACCTTGCCAACTGCGTACCCTTTACTGTCTGAAGTGTGCTAGGACTCATTCTGCCTATTTTTATTCATGTCCTGTATTCCTTAAGGAATGCAAGATCTGCCTCCTAAAGGAAAAATAGGGCATGTCATGTGGTCTGTCCATAGATCATCTTCACAGAACTGCCCAGGATTTCGTAGGTTCCTGTGGTTTTCCAACCTCCATTTGATTCATACACTTCCCCTCTATTTTTTATACATAAATTTGAAGAGCTCTCCTCTGAAACTCATCCCTCATTTTCTGATTCCATGCAGCTTACATAGTCTTTTTTTTGTTATCAGGTGATAGAGGTGGAAGTTCATGCAGGACCACCACCACTTGCTGAGTCAGCTCCAGTTCTTAAAGCTTTTTCTTCCCTGCTTGCTTCCTCCCCCTCCTCAGTACAGCACAATATGTATATCCATTCTGTACACTAACTCTTCTGAAATTTCTGATTCCTACCTGCTCACTTTGCAGTAAATATCCTACATCCTCTTCAGCCCCTATGGTGAATGTATTGAAGATACAAGTCTCCTATTACTTCCCCAGCAGTCATCCCAGTTCTCCGTGTAGAGAGTCACCTCTTGCACTTTCCACATCACCATTTTTCCTCTTTGTAATCTGTGATAGAAGCCATCACAGTTTCCATAAATAATATACTCACCTTTCTGTAGATCCTGATTGCTTCACTGACTCTGGATGTCACCCATGTAATTTTAAGGCATTAAACAGCATGAGGATTTACCCTGCCTAACATAACCCTTAAACATCACATTCTAATGGTTTTTGTAAGTCTACTCTACCTACTTCTAACTTCCCCCACCCTTATGTTACCTCCTCACAGACAACTTATCCTGTTAGCAATCCACACACTGTAAGTCTTGAATGACCACTTGCTACCCCCAGAGCTTGATTTCATTGATCATTCACTTGCATAAAGTTTAGTCAACTTTTTTGTTTACTTAAGCTACATATCTATTTTACATTGGAATATTAGAGGTTATGGAGGAAATTGGAGAGAACTCCAGGTGCTTATCTCCCACTTGTCTCTTGTATACATTTGCTTCCAAAGACTAATTTTTTCCAGGGTATTGGCTTTCCTATCTCTGGCTATATTCTTTTACACTTCATCCTTACCCTGTTAAAAGTGGTATTCCTTCCACCTTATCATATAACTCCCTTCAATTCCTAGTGTCTTACTTCGAACCAATACATTTTTTTTTTTAGGTTTAATAGTTACCCAAAATGCATTGCATAATTAGTGGCTTTCTTTTGTGCCTACCAATGTATTATTTGATGTGAATGACATTGTGTATGGCATAAAGAAATAAACATCATCATTATTATTATTATTATTATTATTATTATTATTATTATTATTATTATTATTATTATTATTATTATTATTATTATTATTATTATTATTATTGTTGTTGTTTGAGGTGGATCTCACTGAGACACTTGTGGTAACCTCTTGGAGTCATTTCATACCCCTTTACTTTTGTTTCTGAAATACTGGAACCTTGTTCCCTCTCGTTGCCACATCATTCCCCATTTCATACTGTTTGGTTTCCCCTGTCCCTGTCTGACAAACTTTTAAATTTCTTGGCTTCTACTTTGATCAGAGGATGTTTTGGAAATTATATGTGACAGGCTTGAAAGCTCTCTCTCTTAGCAGACTGAATGTACTTGAAATTTTGTCATGTTTTACCCGCGAGCCAGTAGGCAAGTTCTTCATCTTCATATGACCTTGGTTCTATCAGAACTTGATTAGTGATCAGACATGTTTATCTGCTTCAGCAGTGGTTGTTTCCAAGTTTGATTACATCCATTATCAAGGATTATGTCTGTGTCTTTCATTCCCATTAGAAAACCCCTATATATAGTTTGCAAGACCATTGTGGCACTCATTTTCAGCATTATGTTGTTCACTTTTACAATGTTTATGGCCCTGCAACCTACAGAATAATGGGACGTTAATGCTGACACTCAACCCTTCTTTATCACTGCCTCTTAATCTCTACCTTCAGACTCTAGTTGCTTTTAATTTGCCTTCCATTTCTATTCACCCTGTTTATTTTTTTTTTCCAATCCACCTTGGGAGATACCAATAATTAGAGCATGTACCTCCTTCCTTCACTTTCCAGAGTATTGTACATCTGCTGTGAACAAGTGCTCCCTCCTCCTTGGGCCTTTTCAATTACTCTTTCATGCTACTGTTGTGTACACTGCAGTTTTTTTGAATACTATCATCCCTATTATGCAAATCGTTTTGCGCAGATTCATTATGAGAGTTCTTTTTCCATTCGTAATTCCATATATGCAATTTATGGCCACCATATGCAATACGTATGGTTTGCTGGTTTGCTAAACTCACTTATTGTGTGTTAAGTGTTTATAGCCAAACTGAGCTTAATGCAGATGCTAGAGGCCTGGAACATATCTTCAGCATAAAAAGAGGGAAATTATTTCCCAGTAAAAGTAGGCCTTAGACAAGGATGTGTGATGTCACCGTGGTTGTTTAATATATTTATAGATGGGGTTGTAAGAGAAGTAAATGCGAGGGTCTTGGCAAGAGGCATGGAGTTAAAAGATAAAGAATCACACATAAAGTGGGAGTTGTCACAGTTGCTCTTTGCTGATGACACTGTGCTCTTGGGAGATTCTGAAGAGAAGTTGCAGAGATTGGTGGATGAATTTGGTAGGGTGTGCAAAAGAAGAAAATTAAAGGTGAATACAGGAAAGAGTAAGGTTATGAGGATAACAAAAAGATTAGGTGATGAAAGATTGGATATCAGATTGGAGGGAGAGAGTATGGAGGAGGTGAATGTATTCAGATATTTGGGAGTGGACGTGTCAGCGGATGGGTCTATGAAAGATGAGGTGAATCATAGAATTGATGAGGGGAAAAGGGTGAGTGGTGCACTTAGGAGTCTGTGGAGACAAAGAACTTTGTCCTTGGAGGCAAAGAGGGGAGTGTATGAGAGTATAGTTTTACCAACGCTCTTATATGGGTGTGAAGCATGGGTGATGAATGTTGCAGCGAGGAGAAGGCTGGAGGCAGTGGAGATGTCATGTCTGAGGGCAATGTGTGGTGTGAATATAATGCAGAGAATTCGTAGTTTGGAAGTTAGGAGGAGGTGTGGGATTACCAAAACTGTTGTCCAGAGGGCTGAGGAAGGGTTGTTGAGGTGGTTCGGACATGTAGAGAGAATGGAGCGAAACAGAATGACTTCAAGAGTGTATCAGTCTGTAGTGGAAGGAAGGCTGGGTAGGGGTCGGCCTAGGAAAGGTTGGAGGGAGGGGGTAAAGGAGGTTTTGTGTGCGAGGGGCTTGGACTTCCAGCAGGCATGCGTGAGCGTGTTTGATAGGAGTGAATGGAGACAAATGGTTTTTAATACTTGACGTGCTGTTGGAGTGTGAGCAAAGTAACATTTATGAAGGGGTTCAGGGAAACCGGCAGGCCGGACTTGAGTCCTGGAGATGGGAAGTACAGTGCCTGCACTCTGAAGGAGGGGTGTTAATGTTACAGTTTAAAAACTGTAGTGTAAAGCACCCTTCTGGCAAGACAGTGATGGAGTGAATGATGGTGAAAGTTTTTCTTTTTCGGGCCACCCTGCCTTGGTGGGAATCGGCCAGTGTGATAATAATAAAAAAATAAAAAAAGAGGGACACCTTTAATGAGATGCAGGAGCATTTACCAGATGTGGCTAGTATTTTTTGCAGTAGAGTTGTGTGTTTCCTGTAGCCATCAACTTCATTGTGACTCTTCCCACTTTTTCCTTTGCTATCTCTGACTGTGTATGTTACAAGCTTTTCAGAACTTTGGCCCCTCACATCTCATAGTCCTTTGCATACAAGATTGGCTGTGTCACCTTTTCAGCATGCCTAGAGATATCTTTTGCTGGATCCCTGGTCTTTATGGTGTTCAGTGCAATGAATTTGCAGACTCCTCTGCATGTTCCACAGTTCAGGAACTATCTTTTGCAGGGATCTACCGCATTCAAGCTATTTTCCAGTTTTCTTTCAGCATTTAGGATTGATGGCAGAGTCATTGGTCTGCATTAAAAACCAAGTTGAGTTCATAGTCAACTTCTTTTCAGTACCATTCTGTTTGGAAAACAGTTTTAACATGAACTACATACAGCCTCTCCTCACTTAACGATGGAGTTCTGTTCCTAAGACCATGTTGGTAAAAGAATTTGTTGCTAAATGAGGAGCATACTAAAATGGTAGTGAGTTTATGTCAGCCATCTTTGATATTGTTTTAATGTCACATTTGCACCATTTATAACATTTCTGGTATATTTTTAAATGTTTATACAATAGTGTACTGTATATTGTAATAAGCAGAATAGAGGAAATCAGCGTTAATATACATTATTTAGGTATGCATACTGATCAGAGAACCCATCGTAAGTCCAAGTTGTCGGTAATTGAATATGTCCCTAAGTGAGGAGAGGCTGTATTGGCCACATGAGACACTCGTACAGCAGTTTTACCAATTCTCAAGAAGCAAGAATCTATTTCTGGTTTCTGTTTCAATGCCTGGTTGCCCTTACTTTGCTTGCTCAGCTTTCAGAAACCTTCCTTCAGCACTGACTTTTTGACTGAAACTGATTTATGCAAACTTTGACTTTGTAGCCTCTCCTCACTTAGTGACATACTTGTTTACCAACGCCTCAGACTTATGACGGGCTCTCTGACCAGTATTCATATCTAAATACTAATGTATATTAGAGCTGACTTCCTCTATTCTGCTTTTTTCAATATACAGTACACTACTGTATGAACATTTAAAAATATACCAGAAATGTTATAAATGGTGCAAAGGTGACATTAAAACAATATCAAAGATGGATGACACAAACTCACTACCATTATAGTATGCTCCTCACTTAGCGACGAATTTGTTTAATGACGTGGTCTTAGGAACGGATCTCTGTCATTAAGTGAGGAGAGGCTGTACTTGTTAGCTTTACACTACTTCTCTTTGCCAATAGCTTCCCTCAAGCTTGCAGTGCCATATGACCCATTTGGGTTTGGCACTTTTTTTGTTAGTATTCAGTAATAATACTATTCATGATAATTAAAATGTGTCACTTTAAAGGAGGGGGCCTTGATACCAGTGAAGGGCTCCTAATCCTAATAAATAATAATACCCACTTTGATGAAATCTCTTTTCCTTCCATTACCCAAGTGCTGTATGACCCCTATGGGTTTAGCACTTCCCCTGAATATAATAATATGGCATTATTGTCTCCAGTTTGTGCTTTAGCTGGGAATTGTTCTGGGCATGTTATTGTGATGTATATTTTTTATGTGCTCTTGCCATTCATGATCATATAAAATGCAAATTCATTTTCAGTCTCAAAATACAGTACTATTCATCTTACATTATGTGTTAATGATTAACTTTAAGACATTCAGAATTGTTAGAGTATTTTAAATTATGATTTTTAGTAGATTTGGGATGAATCTATTTGTAGATGAAGTAAGTTCTCTTATGAAGCTCCTATACCTAGTGCAGTTTTTTGTATATGCATTGGAAAAAGTGCATCCAAAATTGAATAGTGCATAAATAGACCTTCATGGTACGGTACGTACTATTCAGTTTTGTGTGCACGTTTTCAGTTACACTGGCAGAAAACTGAAATATATATAGAATAGCTATATAAGAGCTTACAGTAATTACAAGCTTAATTAGCAGTAGTACCACCACACCATAGTAGATTAAAAAAAAACCAGAATCACATCAATAAGTTTTCTTTAAGGTCATACAGTGTAAGCGAACACAGATGGAAAAAGTATAAATTAACATTAAAATTCTTTAATGTGAAAAGGATCATTAAGTGATTAAAATATATTAAAAAGTATGTATGATTTCAGTTAAATAAGGACAAAACTATTTTTTTTAAGAGAATAGCATTATAATAAATTGTAAGGTTGAGCAATAAGTTTTAGTAGACCTATACTAAGAGGGATCACTATCAACCCAGTAGTCTGGGGGTTGGGGGGGGCTGTAGGCTTACACTGAAAAGGGATGCTAGCAACCCGATTAACCATAGGGTGGTAAATAGGCCTACATTGTTAGTCAGATAATAAGTAGGCCAGCACTTAGAGGGAACATTAGCAACCAAGATGGGAAGTAGCCTACACTGAGAGGGAACATTAGCAACCAGGTTAACCCAAGATGGGAAGCACCTGCACTGAGAGGGAATATTAGTAACCCAAATGACCAGTGAGGGATAAATAGGCCTACAGAAAGAGGGAACATTAGCAACCCATAAGAATCACAGCACTCATACAAATGTTTGGGATCAATTCTGTTTAAAATATTTTCCTGTCTACACTAGCTCTCAGTAGAGATTGTGAACCTAGAAAGTACATTGAATATTAGTATACACAGTATATTCTACATAAGCTGCACTTGTAGTTAGCATGTAGACATGTATGCATGCTAGGCACACATATATATACCATCTTCAAAGATATATGTATATATAATTACTATTAAATATGGACAAATCTAGTCAAAATATCTATGAGCTCTTAAGTGAAAATGTTGAACATTAAACACCACTCTAGATCATTATTTTTATTGACATACAGTATAGCAAGTGGTAAAGTCATAATATATATTTTTTAGAAAGTATAGTTTTTGGTTCATTTGTGTAGAGTAAAAATACTTTAGGTCAGTCTTATTATTTCATTGTTTTATGTAAATATCTATTCAATTAAAACTGAATGTTTTCATAAATTTTGGTTTTATTTCGGCTCTGTACTTCCTGTAGTAAGTTATTCAAGTGCAGAGAGGAGATAAAAATGCATATAACTGAATTATTGTTTAAATTTCTCAGATTATTTCATGACTGTATGTAAGTGTATATACAGTAAAAAAAAACGAATGTTCTTACAAATTAAGACACTTAAAATTGTATTAATATAAATTTGAGAGGTTAGATAATTTATATTAACATTTTATGTAGCCTCCTGAGGCATGTCTTTTGTTATTCCACTGCCTCACATAGGTTGCTTATATTCCTCAAGATCAACACATCCTCAAAACATCCCATCAACCATGAACATTGTTCTCCAACACTTTACAGGATTTACAATGTATAAACTAAATTACGTACACTGAAGAATTCCTAACTGCCAAATATTATATGTAAATGTATGAATTTTCTTGTACATTTATTTAATAGTGTATTATAGTGCAAAGATACTTGTACTGTACTAGAGGGTGAAACACGTTGTTCACTTGTATACACCACTTGAAGTTTTTGAATGAATTCCTGCTCATCTGTGAAGTGGTTTGTTATATTCTTTATTGCTACATTAAAATAATAGAATTGACAATACAGAGGAAAATATACCATAGCAATAAGTAGCTATGTGTAATCCTTTGTTGAACTTTACTTAAAATGGAAGAAACTGTGAAAAGAAAATGTATGGTCACGTCTTGGTAAAATTGTAGTATGTATGTGACCTGACCAGCAGCAGTGTTCCAAAGTTCCCAACTGCCGGAATGTTCTTTGTTTTGGTGTCTTGTATACTGATAATGATTCTTAAGGTTGTGATAATATATGTGGCATCATCAACCAAACCATATGATTGATAGTTGCTGCCATGTACTGTAATAAAGTACTTTGCTGTCTATGTAATTTGAAGTGGAAAAATCTTAGTGTCGGTACTTATTAATTAATGTGTGTATTTTCAAATAAGATATTTTACGAGGGTGACATATCACTGGAAATAGGATATATTTTGTGACTATTTTTGTATATAGTATCTCCTCAATTTGTATAGTAATTTACTGTAGTGTTTTGAAGATGTAGCCTATATTTCAGGTATAGTGTTTTCTAATAAGTGTAAGTAATAGTGTTACTATAGAATTAATGTATATTTTCAGCAATTCCTTTATTTTATACAATCACTAATCTAGATCCATCCTTGTTATTTATGTAGAACAGTAAGCCCCATTTTTTATCTTTTAAAAATTAGAGTATAAACCACTAATGTTGACTGATGGCCTCTGTTGAGACAAGGAGTCGTGCATTAACCAGTCACCGTACACCATATATTTACCTGTGTCTGTAAGGTGTCATTTGTGTGCCACCAAGTGAAATTAGGTGTGTGGTTTGACTGTTTAAGATATATACTTGTATGTAATAATTAATATTTATAATTATCCTTAAATTCTCTAGATATATTTGTGTGCAAGTATACCAATCAAGGTTCTGTAGTAAGAGAAAGTTTTCATAGTTATTAAATACTCATGAGCAAGTATTTTGAAGCTTCCACCTTCTTTTCTGCAAAATTTGACATGAAATATTTATGTACCTGGGATGGTGTTTATGCAAGGCTCAATCATATACACTAATAAAAACAGTGACAACTGTAATGATTGAGAAGACACTGGAAATACACAACACATCACTCTTGAAGCAAAAAAAAAATTCGTAAGTTAGGAATGGTCACTGGTATCACTAGGTTCAACTAAATGTAATCTCAAGACACTGCTCATTATGTTTAATCTTATACAGGAAGGCCCCTCTTATACAGCAGGCTAGGTCCCAGGCTACTGCTGTAAAGCAAAAAAAATCACTGTAACGTTAATCATAGCCTTTTTCACTTTCAAATGCATGTAAAAGCCTGATAACACGTTTACACTATCATAGTAAGTGAGCAATACAGCTAGGTCTTAAAAATTCACGCACAGTACACACACTACTTTTTTAAAGTATTTTTGTCTTTAGCTTATAGTGAGTGGTGAATATATTTATTGTAGGAAGTCTGAATAAATGAAGAATGGGTATAATTGAAAACTGCTGTATTAGTGAAACTCTTTAAAGCGAAGTGCTGTTAAGTGGGGCCTGTCTGTATCTATCAACAAGGTACAGTATACTTAAAATCACTGTTACATTACTGCACATTCACATTGTTGTGCTGTACTGTCATGGTACTCGCCTAGTTGTACTCACCTAGTTGAAGTTGCAGGGGTCAAGTCCTAGCTCCTGGCCCCACCTCTTCACTGGTCGCTACTACGTCACTCTCCCTGAACCGTGAGCTTTATCATACCTCTGCTTAAAGCTATGTATGGATCCTGCCTCCACTACATCACTTCCCAAACTATTCCACTTCCTGACTATGTGGCTGAAGAAATACTTCCTAACATCCTTGTGAATCATCTGTGTCTTCAACTTCCAACTGTGCCCCCTTGTTGCTGTGTCCCATCTCTGGAACATCCTGTCTTTGTCTACCTTGTCAATTCCTCTCAGTATTTTGTATGTTGTTATCATGTCTCCCCTATCTCTCCTGTCCTCCAGTGTCGTCAGGTCAATTTCCCTTAACCTCTCCTCATAGGACATACCCCTTAGCTCTGGGACTAGTCTTGTTGCAAACCTTTGCACTTTCTCTAGTTTCTTTACGTGCTTGGCTAGGTGTGGGTTCCAAACTGGTGCCGCATACTCCAATGTGGGCCTAATGTACATGGTCCTGAACGATTCCTTATTAAGATGTCGGAATGTTGTTCTGAGGTTTGCTAGGTGCCCATATGCTGCAGCAGTTATTTGGTTGATGTGTGCTTCAGATGTGCCTGGTGTTATACTCACCCCAAGATCTTTTTCTTTGAGTGAGGTTTGTAGTCTCTGGCCCCCTAGACTGTACTCTATCTGCAGTCTTCTTTGCCCTTCCCCAATCTTCATGACTTTGCACTTGGTGGGGTTGAACTCCAGGAGCCAATTGCTGGACCAGGTCTGCAGCCTGTCCAGATCCCTTTGTAGTTCTGCCTGGTCTTCAATTGATTGAATTCTTCTCATCAACTTCACGTCATCTGCAAACAGGGACACTTCAGAATCTATTCCTTCCGCCATATCGTTCACAAATACCAGAAACAGCACTGGTCCTAGGACTGACCCATGTGGGACCCCGCTGGTCACAGGCGCCTACTCTGACACCTCGCCACGTACCATGACTCGCTGCTGTCTTCCTGACAAGTATTCCCTGATCCATTGTAGTGCCTTCCCTGTTATCCCTGCTTGGTCCTCCAGTTTTTGCACTAATCTCTTTTGTGGAACTGTGTCAAATGCCTTTTTGCAGTCCAAGAAAATGCAATCCACCCACCCCTCTCTCTCTTGTCTTACTGCTGTCACCATGCCATAGAACTCCATTAGGTTTGTGACACAGGATTTCCCAGCCCTGAAACCATGTTGGCTGCTGTTGACGAGATCATTCCTTTCTAGGTGTTCCACCACTCTTCTCCTGATAATCTTCTCCATGACTTTGCATACTATACATGTCAGTGACACTGGTCTGTAGTTTAGTGCTTCATGTCTGTCTTCTTTTTTAAAGATTGGGACTACAATTGCTGTCTTCCATGCCTCAGGCAATCTCCCTGTTCCGATAGATCTATTGAATATTGTTGTTAGGGGTACACATAGCGCCTCTGCTCCCTCTCTCAGGGCCCATGGAGAGATGTTATCCAGCCCCATTGTCTTTGAGGTATCTAGCTCACTCAGAAGCCTCTTCACTTCTTCCTCGGTTGTGTGTACCGTGTCCAGCACCTGGTGGTGTGCCCCACCTCTTCGTCTTTCTGGAGCCCCCTCTGTCTCCTCTGTGAACACTTCTTTGAATCTCTTGTTGAGTTCCTCACATACTTCACGGTTATTTCTTGTTGTCTCTCCTCCTTCCTTCCTTAGCCTGATTACCTGGTCCTTAACTGTTGTTTTCCTCCTTATGTGGCTGTATAACAGCTTCGGGTCAGATTTGGCTTTCACTGCTATGTCGTTTTCATATTGTCGTTGGGCCTCCCTTCTTATTTGTGCATATTCATTTCTGGCTCTACGACTGCACTCCTTATTCTCCTGGGTCCTTTGCCTTCTATACTTCTTCCATTCCCTAACACACTTGGTTTTTGCCTCCCTGCACCTTTGGGTGAACCATGGGCTCATCCTGGCTTTCTCATTATTCCTGTTACCCTTGGGTACAAACCTCTCCTCAGCCTCCTTGCACATTGTTGTTACATATTCCATCATCTCATTAACTGGCTTCCCTGCCAGTTCTCTGTCCCACTGAACCCCGTTCAGGAAGTTCCTCATTCCGTGTAGTCCCCTTTCTTGTAGTTTGGCTTCATTCGCCCTGGCCTTCCTGCTTCCCCCTCCACTTGTAGCTCTACTGTGTATTAGAAGCTTAAAACCACATGATCGCTGGCCCCAAGGGGTCTTTCAATTGTGATGTCCTCAGTATCTGCATTACTCAAGATAAGTACTAGGTCCAGTCTTGCTAGTTCATCCTCTCCTCTCTCTCTTGTAGTGTCCCTTACGTGTTGGTACATGAAGTTTTCCAGCACCACCTCCATCATCTTAGCCCTCCATGTATCTTGGCCCCATGTGGCTCCAAGTTCTCCCAATCGATTTCCTTGTGGTTAAAGTCACCCATGATCAGGAGCTTTGCCCTGCATGCATGAGCTCTTCTGGCCACTGCAGCCAGTGTGTCAACCATCACTCTATTGCTCTCATCATACTCTTGCCTTGGCCTCCTGCTGTTCTGTGGTGGGTTATACATCACTGCAATTACCACTTTGGGACCTCCAGAGTGAAGCGTTCCCACTACGTAATCACTTGCTTCTCTGCTGTCTTCTCTCTCCAGCTCATCAAAATTCCATCGGTAAGCTTGTTTTCTGTGAGAGCCATGAAGTCCGGTGATGCCTCTTTGACTCTTTTGTGCCACTCCTTCCACTTATTTGTTATTCCATCAGTGTTTGTGTACCATACCTTCAGTTTCCTCTCCAATACTGTGGCTTGGGGGGCCTGTGAGGGTGGGAGACCTGGTAGTGTACTGTGGGATTCTATAGCTGGGTGTTGGGTGGACGCTGTGAGTATGGATTGTAGTTTGTGTTGGGATGGTGTGATAGGTTGTGGGGTTCTGGGGATGGTTGTGTGTGCGCTTGCCCTTGCTGCTCTGTCCTGCTCTGATTGACCTCCGCTGGTTCCGTCCTTGTCTCCCTTCCTAGCTCCTTTCGCTTTTTTGTCCTCTCCCTCAGCTGCTGTCACTCTGTGTTCTCTCTCTGTCTAGGGACACCCTCTTGTACTCTGCCGAGTACTTCAACCGTGGCTTCTCTTGGAGGATCTTGTTCCACACTGTTTCTGTCCTCAAAATACACAAATAACCCGCACATAAAAGAGAGAAGCTTACGACGACGTTTCGGTCCGACTTGGACCATTGACAAAGTCAGTGGTCCAAGTCGGACCGAAACGTCGTCGTAAGCTTCTCTCTTTTATGTGCGGGTTATTTGTGTATCGTTCCAGTCACGGTATTGTGCCTTTTTGTTATTTATTTCTGTCCTCAAAATCAGATTGATCAGTCGTTTTCTCCCCTTCAAGTACCCCCCTATTCTCTGAAAATTTAGTCTCGTCCATGTCTTCTTCACCTATTTCTGTGATGATGTTCTCAATCTCCTTTCTTTCTGCCTGCCGTCTTTCAGTGTGTGTCCTTTCCTCTCTCTCCTGAAGCCCATGGATAAACACTGATTTTGCCCTTTCCTCCTCCCATTGCCTTTCCCTCTGTGACTCTTGTTCCTGTCTGTACGTGGTCATTTTCTCCTTTGTTTTTTCCAGTGTCTCTTGGTAGCATGGTTGTGCCTCTGCATTTGACCTATCACCCTCTCCATCTGCACCCAGCTGCTCTCCCCTTTCACTCCTTGGCCCTTCTTGGCAGGCTGATATGACCTTAGCATAATTCATAACTCCTTCCTTCCTGTTCGGCCTCTCAGCTTCATATGCTGTGTCTTCTCTGGTCAATGCCTCTGTAACTCACTTCAGCCTGTTTACCTCATCTTCTAGGACCCTTATCCTGGCTACTGCAGTTTCGACTTGTGTCTCCCAATTCTCCTTCTCGTTCTCCAACCTCTTTTCCAATTTCACAGAGAGCTCTTTCTCCATTTTATCAGAAAACTCTCCTAATTTTCTCTCCTACTCTTGTTCCATCCTTTTCCACTGCTCCTCCATCCACTCCTCCCTACCAGAACCATTCTCATCTGATCCCTGGTTCCTTTGAGTCCCCACCATTTTTTCTTTTTTTTTTTCCTTCTTTTTCCCTTTTCTTCCCTTTCTTTTTTCTTTTTTTTTCTTTTTTAGAAAGAAAAGAGTGAGAGAGAGAGAGAAGGGAAAGGTAGGAGAGAGAGAGGGGGAGAGTGAGAAGGGAAAAGGGGGAGAGAGAGGGGGCAAAGAGAGGAGGCAAAGAGAGGGGAGAAACAGGGAAGAGAGGGGGGGAGATGGAAGAGAGAGAGAGGGGAGGAGGGGAGAGAGAGAGATGGGAAATGGGAGAGGGGAGAGAGGTAGAGAGAGAGATGGGTAGAGAGAGAGTTGGGTAGAGAGAGAGAGAGAGAGAAAGAGGGAGAGAGGGGGGAGGAATAGTGGATAGTGGAGTGTTAGAGGGAGAGAGGGAGGGTTATCAGGTCAGTTTACAGGAAGGTATGAAATCCTGTGTATGTGTGTGCATGTGTACTACAGCTTTTACAAGTGCCTGTATTGTATCCCTGGTGTTACCTCTGACTTCCTTCCACGTAGACTGGCTGACTACTGGTCACTCCCTTGCTGGGGACTACTTGGTCCCAGTCTGGTGCTTTTACCAGTTTTATACTCCCAGAAAGGTTGGTTGCTACAGCAGACACTCGCAGAACACAGTGGTTACATTCCTGAAAATACCATTTTAACCCTTTGACTGTCGAAAGGCCCAATCCTTAAGTGTCTCCTGGTGTCGCAAAATATTCGAAAAAAAAATTGTTTTTTCTTATGAAAATGTTAAGATTATTTTTCTGATTGTTTTAGT